AGAGGCAGACAACAGGATCAAGAGAGAGTCTCTAAAACATACCATTCACAATATCTAAAATAATTAAGTATACAAAAAACAGAAAGTGAGACCCACATTCAACTTAGATAGTCAATAATGAGGAGCGCCAGGCTCGGTGCCTCAGCCTGTAATCCCGCGCCTTTGGGAGGCTGAGGTGAGTGGATTGCCTGAGCCCGCAGATTCGAGACCCGCCTGGGCAACTTAGCGAGACCTCATCTCTACAATAAATCAAAAAATCAGCTGGGCGTGTTAGCACATGCCTGTAATTCCAGCTACTCGGAAGGCTGAGGTAGAAGGATCGCTGGAGCCCAGCAGGTCGAGGCTGCGGTGGCCGGGAGCGGCCGCTGCACTCCAGTCTGGGCGACAGAGTGAGACTCCAACTCAAAAAAATAAATAAATAAATAATGAGGACCAATGCTTAGAAATCTCACACATTAAAATTAGCAAACAAAAAATTTAAAGCAGTTATAAATTATGCTCAAGGCATAAAGAAAACATATTTATAATGAATAAACAGAAAGGAATCTCACCAGAAAAAGAGAAAATATAAAAAGTAACAAAATGGAAATTAGAAAACTGAAAAATATAATATTTAAATTTTTTAAATTTTGTGGTTGGACTTGGTATCTAGAGATTGCAGAAGTCAGTAACCTCGAAGACAGATTAAATAAAAACTATACAATCTGAAAAACAGCTAAAAAGACTTAGAAAAAAATTAAAAGAGCATCTGTGACGTGTGAGACAAGATGAAAAGGCTTAAAATATGGATAATACAGACCTAGAAAGAGAAAGGGGTCCAGAAAAAGAATTTAATGTAATTCTAGCACTCTGGGAGGCCAAGACAAAAGGACTGCTTAAGCCCAGGAGTTTAAGACCAGCCTGGGCAAGGCTGAAGAGAAGGAATTCCCAAACACTATCTACCCACATCTGACTCCTAAACTATGCAACAGAGCTTTTGACAGGCCTAGTAAACTGCCAAGCATTATTTATTTGAGGCCCTCTGAAACAGTGGCAAGAAAACTTCAATTCTTTGATTTATAAAATGCAGCAATAAAGTTGTTTTATTATATTTCTTTTGATGAGTATTTCTGTCTTTGTATTTTTTAATTTCAAAAGTAGTTCTGCAATTTTAAATATTAATGGCAAAAGTAATGCTTTGGTTTGTCAGAGCAATAAAATTTATCCCCAATATCAATAGCACATGTCCTTTACCTTTATATTTTAAAGTTACTACTGCAGGAAAATACAGAATCAACAACACTTCTGAAGTTTTTAACAATTTTCAATCAAATCAGTATAAACAATTTTCAATCAGTCAGTATAATTATCTGTTGGTCAGTACTGTAGCAAAAGAATTCCCAAAAACACTATAGCAGTTTTTGACATCTTAAATCAAGTAAGACAGTAAATGTAAATATTAAGTATCCTTGTTAGAAAATTGGATTTCTGGGGCAGCCCTTCAGGTTCCCTCCCACTATGAGAGTTTTTCTGTCCTCTTAATAAATCCTGCTTAAAAAAAAAAAAAAAAGAAAGAAAGAAAAGGAAATGAGATTTCTGGCCAGGCGTGGTAGGCTAAGGTGAGAGGACTGCCTGAAACCACAGGTTCGAGACCAGCCTGGGCAACTTGGAGAGACCCCATATCTCTACAATTATAAAAAAAAAATAGCCAGGCTTGGCGGCTCAGCCTGTAATCCCGTACTTTGGGAGGCTGAGGTGAGTGGATTGCCTGAGCCCGAGGGTTCAAGACCTGCCTGGGCAACTTGGCGAGACCTCATCTCTATAATAAACTTAGCTGGGCATGGTAGCACGCGCCTGTAGTTCCAGCTACTTGGAAGGCTGAGGCAGAAGGATCGCCGGAACCCA